ACATACTTTTACCACGCACACACACTGCGCAGCTAAGGGCCTTGGCCAGAGGCACTGTAATGTTATAGCAGAGATGGCTAAAATGCTTTCAAACACTGTTGTTTCCACAGAGCTTCGTCTGTTTCTGTATTTGGACTTCCAAAGGGCACGACACAAAGACAGAAGTGCTTACAGTTCAATATTAACTATGTTCCAGAGAATTATAAAATATACAGCAAGCATGATTTGACAAAACAGCTCCAGAATCTCTCCCAGTTCAGTGCTGGATTCGGTTAAAATCTCCTCAAAGCAAAAGCTGTGAACTACAACCTGCAAGTGTTTTTATTTGTTAAAATTGATCATGACGTCTACAGTATCTAGCGTTAATGGTATGCTGTAGCAAAGATGTAAACAACAGGAAATGCTGTTTTGCAACGCAAACGATTTAGCTACAAATTTATATTTATCAGTCAAACTGCTATAAACACACACACTTCACCAGCGCGTGCAGCCTCTGTCTATGTGTGTGCGCTACTTTGCATTGATTCTCTTTAGGCAGCTTTCCCATGCGTTTTACATCTCAGATAATGAAGTCGTAAAAGATATGTGAACGATTTATATTACTTACACCTGCATATTCCGTATATATGTGAAAGATGTCGTGTAACGCATTGAGTTAAAAAATACAGGAGAGCTCGCCTAACTCATGTAGCAGCAGAAAAATAAATCAAGGCTCACACAGGTCGCATCCCACATCTTGTGCTTTATTCTTCTGTCAGCAGTGTCTTAATCCAAGCATTAGAGAAAAAGAAAAAGAAAGTCCCGGGCACATGCGCTTGTTACAGAAAGTTCACACATTCACACACACACAAATGATCTCTCTTAAAGGAGCCGCACCCCATTTTCACTCATTACAGACACTTGTCAGATTTTATTTTAGAGAGCAGGCAGGAGGTTGACTGACTGTTTACACAGCAGAAAAGTGCGTGTCTGTACGGGCGTGATGTGGAGCTGATCCGCGAATTGCAGCACATTATGACGATGACCAATCAGAGTCACTTGAGGGCGGGCCTTTCAGATGAACTAGGAAATATATCAGTCGTTTTCATCTTAGCTGAGTAGCTGTATAAAATCAAAGTGAGATTTATGAAAAAATAACATGATTTCCTTCAAGTGAAACATGAACACACATTGCTTTGCATCTTATAAACACAACCAAGCCTTAAAGAGCCCATATTATACATGAAATAGGGTCATATCTTGGTTGTAAGGGTCTCCAACAACAGTCTTAATATGCATGCAAGGTCAAAAAACACTTTCATGGTCTTATAATCTGCATTTACTTTTACCTAATTATCCCAGCGACTCCTGTATGAATCGTCCAGTGATTCATTTGTACCCAAACCCCTTCTTAGCGCCAAGCTAATCTGCGCTGATTGGACCGATGACAGTCTGCTGTGATTGGTTGACACTGACTGCTTTCAGCCAGAGACAGAGTAAATAGCTAGCAGCTAATCAACAAAATAGAATTAGTCAGTCTGTATACACGCTCGATAGTGTAAGGCGTGGAGTTTAGCTGCCAGTGGATAAATGTAAATACAGTCGATGGACTTGAAAATACAGACGACTAACTAAAACTCCCAAGAACTGGTGAGGAGATCTCCTAGCTTGTCACATTCTGCTCTTTTCACAGACACACACACATATTGCCCTCATCCTCACGCACGTGCCCACGCACACACACACATATTGCCCTCGTCCTCACGCACGCGCCCACACACACACACACGCACACACACACTTATACACTTATACACACTTAGGGGGGTTAGGGGTTGGGAAGAGGGGTTCTGTGTCAGAGGGCGGGGCTGCATGTTTCAAATCTCCCGGGTTTGCGCATGCACGTGAATAATGTGGTTTTGTTAGTACGTCATGGCGAAACACCTAATGACTCGTTATCAAGTCGACTCTTTATAAATGAATCAACACTTTTAAACACTACTCTTACAAATTTAAGCCTTAGCTGGATATTTCACTTCACTTAGAGCTGTGTTACACACTACATGGAAGTGCATTTTCAACAACCCATAATATGGGCTCTTTAAAATTACATTCTGGACACCCCTTTAAAAGTTGATAAATCAATTATGAGAAAATTAAGGCCGTTAGAAGGTATTAAAGCCTTAACCGCGTTTTACGATGTCTTACATTTTAAGCTTTTACCAAAGTGTTTGACTCTAAAAAAGCATAAATATATTTATTTACCTTTTATTATTAACAATGGCGTGCTTGATTCACACGATTGGTTTGGGCAGGGGCACGTCTGGCCAATTTCTTTGTCCAGGTGATGTCCCATAATTTGCGACAAACGTGGGAAGATGATGTGACGCTCTCCACATGTAGCGAAACCATAGAACGAAACAGATGGCAAAATGGGATAATGCAAGTCTGCGTATTCCTGGTTGGATTAAGACGATTTTAAAAAGTGGCTGAAGCCTGTCGCTGAAAACAACCACGTAACTTATTCTTTCAGAATAAGTCAATAAAAATAAAGAACAAAAGCTATAAAGAAACAGTAGCTTTGTTTCTTCTGAGCTAATCTGAGTTCTGTTGCATGGTTTTACTCCATTGATTTAATTAACTACAACTGTTTATTAAGTTAAAGGTTTAATACTGATTAGAACTTGAAGTGGCGAAGAGGTCTTTAAAAAGTAAAAAAAAAAAAGGTATTGAATATACTTTTAGGATTCCTACATATAATCTGATTAAGGATTAAAGTAATTTTAGTAGCTTATTAAAATATAAAATACTTAATTTAATACTTAAATACTTAATTTCAAATAGGCATGGGTCCGTATAAGATTCTGACAGAATGATAACATTGGATAAAAATATCGGTAGCACTTTATAATAACTACACACTATGAATCATTTATTAAGCATTAACAAATAGTGAATTCATTATCTGATAAGCATTAACTTTACATTAATAGACATTAGGAAGCAGTTTATAACTGCAGCTACAAATGCTCTATTCTTGACTTATAACCACAATTATAATGTGTTATTGATTTATTTTTCATTACTAAAATTAAGTATTGCATTGTTACATGTATTTCAGCACAGTTAGTAATTTTTTAAGATCATTCAGAAAGAGTTAGTAAATGATTAATAAACTATTAAAATTAACATTTATAATTCTTATTATTTAGTCATATAGTAATAGTTAATTTGTAGGTTAATTGATTTTTTATTGACTCAACTTCATCCAGTTTTGTGACCTAATCTATAGTGAGGACTATTTATGCTTTATAAATCCCGTACGAATGACAATTAAAGGCTCAGTTCTATTCTAAACAGGAAAAAAGAAAATAAACAATTTTATTCATTCCTATTCGTTTAAAGATACACAAATTAAACTGCATCAAATAAATATTAAATATTTGCAACCTTATCTAAAATAAAATTACTGTACAGTTAAACACTGCATCCTATTATATTGTTAAATTATTATATTGTGGTTGTTTTATTAAATTTTATGTTGTATTTTGACACTTGTTATTCAGCAATGTTTAAAATTTATAGAAATGTTACTTTTTAAATAAGATTGCAGATGATTGTTCATTTGATACCAAGCCTTTATATGTCATTTATAAGGGATTTATAAAGCATAAGTAGTCCTTACTTTAGATTAGGTCACAAAACTGTAGTTAATAAAGCACGCACTAACATATAAAGTCACCATTACTATCTGCCTGAATAATAAAATAAACAAATATTAATTTGAATAGTTTATCATTCATTTACTAACTCATTCTGAATGATTTTAAAAACCACCAACTACTCTTAAAGACAACTGGTTTGTAAATAATGCAATACTTCATTTAGTAATGAAAAATAAATAATTAACAAAGGAAGAAAGTACAATTATTAAGCACATTATATTTGTGGTTATAAGTCAAGAATACAGGATTTGTAGCTGCAGTTATAAACTACTTACTAACGCTTATTAATGTAGAGTTAGTGCTTAACAGCTTATTAATTCACTAGATGCTAATGCTTAGTAAATGATTCATAGTATGTAGTTATTATAAAGTAAATGATTCATAGTGTGTAGTTATTATAAAGTTTTATCAAAATATCGTGGTTTCATGGTATCACGGTGTTGTGATTACTTTTTCCCAATTGAACACAATATATTCTATCATAGTATCACAGTAGGAAACATTTAAAATATTTGAACCATAGCTTTTGATGTAGAGGTTCATTTTCTGCTGAAAATACTGTTGCCCTAAAAAACTGAATAAAATGGGTGTAAAAAAAAATGTAATAAATAAATAAATAATTACATATAAATTAGGAACGGTGTAACATAAAACTTTGGTGGTTTCAAAATCTTGACTTTGCCAAACCACGGTAAATCTTGAAACGAGTTTTTGTCCCATGTCTAATTCCAAATGTAATTTGGTTTTATTTCAATTTTAATATTATTTTACATTTTACGTTATTTGCACTGTCCTGTTACTTAGTCCCAACAAACACTGAGATAATACAAATAAAATTATAATATTTTTTTCCTATTTTAAATGATCAGAAAATAATTTGTTTTAAATGAAATTGGATTCAACTTGATTGTGAGCTCCTCTTTAAAGTAAAAACAAATACAGTGATATATTAACTGTGGTATCTCAGTCTCAGTAGCAAGAACTTGTTACTGCTTCAGCAAAAGCCGCTGATGCTGTGAATATGAGTGTTGGTGTACAGTATATGTGTGTGGGTGCGTGTAAGGGGGTCAGGCATATCGAATGCAGGAGTGAGGCTTGGTCAAAGGCTAAATCATACAGTAGATGTCAATAAAGGCTATTTCAGGGGGTGATAATTACAGGCTTGTTCTCATTGCAGCATCCTGCTCGGGCCTGTTTTTTCTGTCTGCGTGCTCACAGCGTGGCTGGATTGCTTGCTTTTTCTGAACAACCATTCACATGAAGTAAGGTCTGTATTAAATAAACCCTCTTTTTCAGGAGCGAGAGCCATTAAAGGTTATCCTTCTGAAAGAAGTGAACAAGGTGCAGGAGTGTAAACAAAGGTCAGTAGTTCTTCATTTGTGTTTTGTTTTAGAAAATTTGCTTTTAGAAAATGTTTTTGTTTTTATTTAGTTTAGTTTTGCTTTTTGTTAAACTAGAGGTTGGAAAACTGCCACAAGATGTCAGTTTGTCGTTGTTGTTTTAATACGGTTTTGGCTTAGAAAATAATATCCAAATGTGTTTAGTTTTTGAACTATTTTAAAATAAATGTGTGTGCATTTGTTGTTGTTGTTGTTGTTGTTTTTTTTGTTTTTTTTTTTGGATAATTCAGTTTATTTTTACTTCACTTGTCACACCCCCTCTTAATCCAGTGATTGGCACACTGCTTAAACAAATACCACATGATGTAAGAAAATAATTTAGTTGTCATTAAAAATAGTTTCCAATCGCATCTCTGCTACAAGATCTATTAAGCAAGAGGTTGACAAACTGCTCAGAGAAATGCCACATAATGTCTTTTTTTTTTTCTTTAGGAAATAATTTCCTAATGTGTTTTGCCACACTTCTGTTGAGCAAGAAGTTCTCAAATGCCCTATAATTTTGTTTTGTTCTGCAAATTATTTCTAAATGCATACACTGACAAAAAAGATTTCTGGAACAATTCATTGTTGCCAAAAAATATATATGGGTTGAATTTAAACAAACAAATTAAGGGCTCTGTTTTAACGGTCTAGGCGCAAAGTCTAAAGCGCATGGCGTAAACGCATTAAGCATGTGTCCGAATCCACTTTTGCCCTTTTAAGGACGGAAAAAAATGCTCTGCGTCTTGGAGCATGGTCTAACATGGTTGTATTCTGTTAATGAGTTATGAATGTGTTTTGAACATAACATGCATTAAACCAATCAGAATCCCATCTCCCATTTTCTTTAAGAGTCACTTGCGTCGCACCATGGCACATTTGCTATTTAGCCTACAAGGCAGACTTTGTAAGTGGAAAAACTGAATGCTTCACTGGTGAGAAAACAGTTAAACAGCTTCTGCAGCACGAGGATAAAGAATGAGCCTCCCCCATTCAGCCTCTTTACTTTCTCTTTACTTTTACACTTTACTTTACTTCTTTACTTTTGTAGATAAAGAAACAGAGGAATCTCACTTCACTCAAGACATCCATTACCTTACATATTAAATTTAGTTTGTTAAGCACAAGAATTTGTTTCAAAACTATTTTTAAAATCAGTTTTAATATCCAGTAATCAAATAAATGAACAATAGTAATGAAGTGTGGTCAGAAAACTGAGTTTTATCCAAGCACGCCTTATTCTTATGCCCCATATGGTGATGCATACGTCTCAAATATAACAATTCATATAATAAATAATACTGCTAATAATAATTAAATTATACAAAAGCAAATTGTCATGAATAAACTGAAAAAAGCCCCCCAACGTAAGGCATGAAAGTAGTGGTTTACATTTATGTAGATAATAATCATTTTTGTAACAATTTATTCCTTTATTTTATTTTTTTTTTCATATGTGAAGATATTTGTGTGTTGCTGTACATCCTGTGTGTATTATGCAATGTGTAAGCGTTTGGACTCGCATAGGCGCACAACTAACTCACTCTGCTCTGGACTTTAGACTAGTTTTTATAAGGTAATTGCGCGGTCTATTTCAGTTTCTCAAAATAGCAATGCGCCAACAATGCGCACCTCTTTTATAGAACACCCTTGAGTCCACAAAGTGATGCAAATGGATTTGCTATTTAAACAACGTGACACAAAATGTGACAATTATTGCAGCGCTGGTTTTGAAAATTGCAACAAATTCAGCCTCATTGCGCTGGGTGTATAATAGGGTCCTAAATTTAGTAATGTTCAACTTATTTTTGTTTGTTTAATTTCAGGCCAAATAAATTGTTTACCTTAAAGTAATAAATCCAAGGTATTATCTTTTGAATAATTTTTTTTGTGATATCTGCTACGCCTCCTATTGCACAAGAGGTTGATAAACTGCTCAAATAAATGCCACATGATTTATGCTTTTTGTCTGAGATTTTTTCACACCTGAGGGGTACTGAACAAAAGCAAGATAAGGGATTAAGCTATGTAGGATTTTCAAGCTATCCTGGCTTAGTTTAGCCTTGACTTCAGTTGTATGAAAGCAAGAAAAATTTATGTTGCATGAAAGCTCAATGCTCCGGAGTAGACTAATTACTAGGCTAACACAGTGATTTATTTGTTATGTTTGCTGTCAATGCTAATAGAAATTCAACCCATCTTATATATATATTTTGTTATATATATATATATATATATATATATATATATATATATATATATATATATATATATATATATATATATATATATATATAAGATTTATAGATATAAAGATTTTTTCTACACATGTCTAAACATAATAGTTTTAATAACTCATTTCTCATAACTCATTTAAATTCAAGTGACATTTAAAGGCTTAACTAGGTTAATTAGGTTAACTAGTTTAATATATATATATATACAAATATAAAAATAAATACATGTTCAAGTGTATTACCAATTAACACCTTAACCATTTTAGTATGTGTTATTATATTATTAATGACCTCAAGAATCAAGAGCGTCTGTGCTCCGTGTCTCGCCTTCAAACGCCACTGCACATTTACTGCGTGTCAGCATTGCCTTCTGAGGCGCAAGTTATTTATTAAATGAAGAAAACATTCACGCAGCTTCTCCTATAGCAGCAAATTCCGTTTTTACTGTTGATATTTAGCGCCAGTTAGTCAGGAATGGAATGGAATTGGATGGAAACGCTGCTTTATTCGCACATCTTTAATGCGATAATCTAATTTTGTGCATAAAGTTAATTCACGGTTTTGGATTGAAACATAATGGTAATGGCAGTGATTCAAAAATATATGTTTTGTTGAGCTGAATCTCGTTATATTTTTGATGTCAGTTGCGGGTCAGCAGAAGGAAGAGGGTGTCCCACAAATGGCAGTTTGAGACTCCTGAATTAAATTGTTGCGCATTTTGTGGTTTTGTGATTTATTTTTAGTTTATTTTTTTACAGTTGAATAAAATCTATTTTCCATTCACATATTATGAATGTCCTTCACTGCCTATAATTAATTAAAATATAAATAAAATAATATTTATTACAAGTTGATTTTAAAAAGTCACCAAAATAGTTTTGCTTTTTTTGATTTTTATCTTTTTTTCAGTACAAATTTTTCTATTCATACATTTCATTATTGAGGATTTTAAAAAAGAATAAAAATCTCTTCTCGTCTTTTTCACATAAACTCAATCTTGTGTCTCATCTCGCAAAGTAAGCATCTCGTTACACTCCCAGCATATATAGCAAATAAACAAATGTAAATATTAATCCTGCTCGCTTTTTGAGCATTGTTTTGTGAGTAAGTCTCAGATAGAACCAAGTTTCTACTTGGCATTTCAATAATCTCAGGAACTTGGATGCATGTTGAATACAGATTTTCGTAATGTATTTACACATATATTACTGTTACTCCTGGGAAATCATCTGAAAAGGATTGTGCTGAGTTTTTTTTTTTTAAGTATAAACAACTGTGAAATGTGCCAAATAAGCAGATTCACATTCATTCTACACTTTGATATAAAAAATGCTACAAATGATATTCTAGGAATCATGGATGACATTAGCAATATTCTGCAGGTGAGGATTTAACATTAAAAAAAAAAGACTTCTGGATGAAAACACACTGGGGGGAAAAACATCTTGGTGATATATGTGTGCTGTCAGGAAACATCGGGAAAACATGCCATTATCTCCAGACAGCCAGGTTTATCATAATATTGACTCGCAAAAAAAATCACAAGTTTTAAAAGTTTGGACACTTCATAAAAGTTTCAATGAATTACAGCATTCCCATCATGCATCTGTACTACTGTGCTGTTCAATAAGTACTGTATCTAATAGCCATTTACCTTTTTAGTGACTTGATGATGAGGGACAATCTTTTTGAACTGGTTACTACCACGAGAACTTTCTACATTCAGGTAGGAATATTTAATTCATTGTAATTCATGGTAAAATCTCGAGCTGGTTTATATGTAATAATGTTACGCTTTGATTTATGATGCTGGAATAAAATGCATGCAGTTATTTTTGTAATTTTATTTTATTGACAGGAGAAAAACAAAAGGTGCTTCATACTATATTGTGAATGTGAAGTCGAGATACAAGAACTAATAGTAGTTACCGTTATTGATGCAAATGGTTTTTGCATTATATTGTATAGGAATTTTGTATTACATCAATGTTATTTTCTCATGAAAGGTTTGTTAGATTCAGGCTTTCAGATTAGGAGTTTATTCTGAAAATATTGCAAGTTTGTCAAGTTAATTACCTTCACTAAGTGAAGATTATTTATAAACTAATTTTGAGAGGATCACTGTCATGGTTGCAGGTTTGTGCGCTCTTCCGTAGTGTCTGTTTGATCATGTGAGTTTGTTTTGTTTTTGTTGCCCACGTGTATTTGTTTTGGTCACGTGTTATGACGACACTCAGTTGGTTTGATTAGTTCGCCAGCTGAGGCTCATTATCACGCCTATATATATGCAACGTTTTCTGTGTTTCCTTGTCAGTTTGTTACGTGTGCTTATGTGTTCGTTTGTCTGTGCTCAGGACCGTGCGGAGTTACCACTAGACCCTGTTTTCCCGTCTGATCCCTGCTCTGGTTTCTCCTAGTCCTAGCTCCGTACTCTCTGTCACATTTATCTTGACTGTGTCAATAAATACAATTTCACTTGCACTTGGATCCATCTGAAAATTCTTTGTACGTGAAAATCACAAGATTATGATTGAACACGGCTGGTTCTGCATTAACTATGTATGATCCACCAATGAGATGATTCCTAACCCACTATAAAGAGCCAGGGTTTCTCACTACAGTCATCTTCGATTAGAAGAATCCCCCCTTCCACCCCTACTCCTCCACCTTTCCCTTCATAGGGTGGCACGGTGGCCCAGTGCCTCACAGCAAGAACGTCACCGGTTCTAGTGCTTAAATAGACCGGCCGCCGTTTCTGTGCAAAGTTTGCATGTTCTTCCCGTGCTCACTTGGGTTGTCCCCGGGTTCTCCGGTTTCCTCCAACATTCCAAAAACATGCACTACAAGTGAATTGATCGATCTAAATTTAGCTCTACAGTCAAACTATCATCCAGCAGCATATCTCTTCATAACAATCATTTTAGTCATCAGCTCTTATCAAAAAGGGGAGTTGTCGAGATCTACCTGAGCTCAAAGCTCCCCTGCGTTCTGCGATCTTTTGAGCTTAGGGCTCTCTCCGGGGACAGCATGCCAAACTTGCATATTATCAATCATTGGTTAAGTGTGAACTCTTGAAAGTGTTTATTTTAATAAGATGTACTAAATTGTCTTATAACATATTCGTTTTGTTCTCTTTGTAACCTACAGTAAAATAAAAAATATCCTCTACTTTTTGTATAACACTGTGATCACACTAAAACATTATGCTAAGTTATATATGAAAAACATTATCTTAAATCATTTGTAACTTTTTTTAAGCTTACAAACATGTACAGAAATTCATATTTTATTTCATAATCTTTAAACTAAAGAACATCACTTCACTGATCTCATCACAATGAATTTTTTTTCTTGTACTAATAAGCATTGTGATGTACATCTCAATATGAAAGAAAGGATGTTTAAAACTTCTCATGTTTACTTCAGCTTAAAAACTAAAGCTACTGGTATGTGTGTTTTATTTCTTTTAAGTCTGACAGCCCTGAAGAGATGCACGGCTGGATAAAGGCTATCTCTGGGGCCATAGTGGCCCAGCGGGGTCCTGGACGCTCAGCAGCATCTGTAAGACTCTTATTAACTCACATATCATCAGTTAGATTGTTTTTATGCTTTTGTTTGTCTTTTGTGAGGTGTTTTGTACCAATTGCTGAGCTAATTTCCAGTTTAACCATTTCTCACTTCACTTGTCACGGTTACTGATGTAACAGCCACTGGCCAATCTTGAAAGGATAGTTTTATGCTAATAGTTTTTTGGGTAATGCATTCATTACAAGTAACGTGAATTAAGTAACAAGTAAAGTAACACATTACTTTAAAAATTGAAGTAATAATATTTGAGTGACTTTTTTTAAATGTAACTCCAGTTACATTTTTAGATGAATTAATTTGCCTTTAAAAAAATTATTTGCTGAATTAAAATGACTGTAATCACATTGAATCACATTCACTGAGAGAATGAGCTCCCTGCGGGATCAGACAGAAAGCAAGATGGCAGAGCCTTACATTTCTGAGATGGAAGTATTCTCATTATTTTGAACACATACAGTGTGACGTTAAATGCGGAGCTCCTCAATTAAAAAAAAAGAGAAAAATACTCTGCAAGTTCCAAAAGAGATCAAGCCTCATGGAGGTATGAAAAAGTAACTCAAAGGTAATGTAACGCATTACTTTCTATAAAAAGTAATGCAACTAGTTACTTTTTTGTGGAGCAACTCAATATTTTAATGCATTACATCCAAAAGTAATTTTCCCTATAACTGGTGCCATTATATACTTCCCAGTGGTTCTCAAACGTTTTGTGTGGTTGACATCTCCTCATAGGCCCTGTCCACACAAACACTGGTGTTTTCAACTGTAGTTAGTTCTATGCGATTTGTCCCCTTAAAAATGCATTATCAGGTGACTGAAACCAAAACTTTCAGAAATCTTCTAGTTCAGGGTGAGAATTGTCTGAAACTCCAGTTAAAGTGTGGTTGTGCGGTTCTTGCCTCATATTTCCTTTCTGATTGGCCAACACCTGTGTTCACACCAAACATGGAAGACATTGAAGCGATTTCTGTTCATTTGCAACAAATGGATCGCACATTCTACATTTTTCACACCACCGGACCATAAACCACCTTTGTTTTCACTATTGCATTGACTTGTGTGCAATTTTCTTCCACTTTTTGTGTGAACTCATCATAATAGGATTTTTTTTAGTTGTTGCCTGTTGGTTCAGTGTACCCATTAAGATGCATAATAGTTCATTTTTGTGTTTTCATGTGAATTGATTATTTTTATTTATTTATTTATTTTTTATTAAAGCAGGGAAAACTCATTTATATTTTTTAATACCATGGACATGGTGCTTCAGCAGCAAGGAGAAGTTTTATATTGATTATTTTTTTAGGCCAAAATATTTGTTTTGCTTTGTACTATTATTATGTTACACTTCTACTGGAGGTCATAAAAAACAACACAAAATTGAAATAAAGCTGTACTCTGCTCCCAAACTGTTTAGGATTAAGAAATATATATTGTCTTATATGGTGCCTGAATTATTTTTGTTAGCGCACTATTTGTTGTCGTCCATCTTAGGGTATAAACATCAGTTGTTTATATATATATATATATATATATATATATATATATATATATATATATATATATATATATATATATATATATATATCCTGATATGGAGGAATTGTTAGAAACAAGACAACAGGGAATCCCAAAGGACAAATAAACACGTTGCTTTTAACTGAGCTGACTGAATATCTAATAGCTTCCATTTAAAAATAAAAAACATGAACATTTAAAATACAATAAATATATTCTAAATCTGTTGAAACACATTAATCTGAAGGTGGCCCATAAGAGATTGAAGATTGAACAGGATCATCCTGTATGAGTGAGTGTTCATTATAAAGCACTCTCAAGACATTTATTTGGACAACTATGCTGATATAATGAAGCGTTCTTGCCAAATACATAGAGAGCATCAATACTTACATGTGGCTAATGTAGGACTTTGACTGGAGTAATGCCTTAGCATGCTGGAGTCGGTTATTATTTATTCAAATCAACTTTACATTAGCGTGAAGATTTTTTTATGAGATGAGATCTATTCACTGGTAAGTTTTAATTATGTTGAGGAAAAATCAAATACACTTCAAGGTTTTTATTTGGCAAATGTGTATCAATTGTAGTTTATATGCTAAAAAAATCATTATACTGAAATGAGTGCTTAGGTCTATTATGGACATTTCTAGAATTTCTGCATATCTTGGTGTTTCTATCCAGGTTTTTTTATTCCACTCCGTAAAATGCACATACAATTAGAAGAATGGAAACATAGTTTTTGTTTCTCCTTTCTGCCATGTAGGTGCCTAATGAATGTGCACTATGTTGCAGATGCGTCAGGCCAGGCGGCTCTCAAACCCTTGTATACAGAGGTATACATCCTGCAATGGTGAATGCAGCACGTATGTGTTGAGATTGAACCCTTTGGCCCTTTTTCTTTTACACTTAGCTCCCTGCTTAGAAATTAGAAGGCCTGCAGTCCTTTTAGTACATCTGAGCAGGGTATAGAGCTGCTTCACCTAAACAATACAACCCAAGCCAACTAAAACCACCCCTTATGTCATGCTATAAATAAGGGGTCACCAATCTCGGTCCAGGAGGGCCGGTGTCCCTGCAGAGTTTAGCTCTAACTTGCCTCAACACACCTGCCTGGTCGTTTCAAGTATACCTACTAAGACCTTGATTAGCTTGTTCAGGTGTGTTTGATTAGGGCTGGAGCTAAAATCTGCAGGACACCAGGGCTGCGTCCGAAACCGCCTACTACTCAGTAGGTACTGCATTTAAATTTATACGTACTACTCGGCCGTTAGAAAAGTACGTTCTATACAGACGTACTATATGTCCTTTTTGTCATGGTCACGTGACCTACCTGCGTCAGTTGCGTCGCTTTACTTCACTTCATGAATTTGCTCGCGGGGCATCATGGGATAGCGCAGCATGCATGAGATGCGCACTCCTGAATCTCGCCGGAAGTAGTAAGTCATCCGGGTACTTCTCGCATACTGATTTTCGAATTCTATGAATTCGGACATACTACTCGGCTCTGATTTTGGCGTACTATATAGTATGGAAGTATGCAGTTTTGGACGCAGCCCAGCCCTCCAGGAACTTGTTTGGTGACCCCTGCTATAGAGTGACCTTTGACACCCATCATCTCCATTTACTCCATTTAACTATGCTTTTGGCACATCCATATTTAACATCTCATCCACTCATCTGATTAGCCACACTTCTGTCTTGAACTCAAGTGTAGTATGAATTTTTTATTTTTATTTTTTTTTTGTTCTTGTTCTTAATGAGAATTGAACAGCATGCCATATTATTTGATAATTGTAAGAAATACCCATAAAAGCTATAGGCTGTGTAAAGCCACATAAAACAAAAGCACAAGCTTGACTGATATGCCATGATCAGCGGTTAGAAGCAGAGAGCTGTCACTCAATTGCCCACGCCCTTAATTATGCAGAATTTTAAAGCTTAGTTTAAATTAAACTGTTTTTTTTTTATGTAAAAATTCACTCTCTTCACAATTGTTAAGAAGAAAAATATTAGCTATATATACCAACACTTTTTTGTACCAGGCTGTAAACTTTTTTTCTGCTAAAGAGTTTAAAATTTTAGGTTTTTGAGATTAGACTATCTTTTGGAGCCAGCCTCTAGTGGCCAGTTTATGCACTGCAGTTTTAATCACTTCCCTATTCAAGTATATATTCCTGCAGCTCTGAGAACTCCAAGTAGAAGGGACAGTAGAAGGGACATGCCACTAGTAGTTTGAGTTATGGCTAGAAAGGTTGCTACTGAGAATGTGTACATAAATAAAGCGCCATTTTTGTGACCCTGTACAACAATTATAATTGTTGTTGTTTTTTTGTCATTGCTGTAAGGGGTTTGTTTAGGGTTGAGTGTAGGTGTAAACGTTAATAAAACACAATAGGTTGGAATCTGTATCATGTACAAGACATTGAAAACCCTCATGTCCAAAAAAAGCAAGAATTGTCTAATTGTTGTGATCAGCCAAACACCTTAATGGCTTGTTTCCACTGACTGGTACAGAACGGTAAGGTTCGGGTCAGTACGGGTTACCTTTACCAGGCTTGCGTTTCCACTACCAAGGTTACTCTTTCGGTGGGCGTGGTGTATGACAGAAAGTTTCAGTCGCATTATTCTCACTCAAGGAAATAACTACAATAAAGCTGTACGGGTCGCTCACATGTCATATGAAAAGCACTTCTCACAAAACAGATGCTTTATACACCTAAATACTTCAGTATAAATGTTTATTACCAACTTTTCCTTAAACATGGTTTGATTATAACTGCAGATTAATGAAATAGCCTACTGTAACGTGTGTAATTATATTAAATAAATAAATAAATAAACGTATATGAACACATACAGCCCCTTACAGTCTTCGATATGTTACCAACTACAGAAAAACTACACAAAACATACATTTTATCCTTTTTTAAGTTTAAAACAACACAAAATATAGCCTACAGTCAGTGAAAACCTCTCATCTTTGTCTGTAATCTTCAGCAGCGCATGTAGCCTCTGTTAGAGAGTCATTCCATCATTCTCAGTTCATATTAGTCCAAAAGGTGATGATAAAATTAAAACAAATCAGTTTGTTCACGTTTGCTGAAGAAATAATGTGCTCTTTTTTTTCAGCTTCTCCTTTTTTTGCGCTTCAAAAAAATAATAATAGAATATAATTTTAAAGCCCTGTCAGATCCTTATTTACTGATATTTCAAACTTTAACATAAACATTTTTGGAAGTACTATCTGGACTTGCGTTTTTTTCTTTGTTTAAATCCAGTTTTTAGAAGACAAATATGAAAATATGAAACAACTTATATTTGTAATTTATGCAATTTATACAAACAGTTCTTTTTAATAAAACCAAAATAAAAATCTATCTGGATGCTTTATCAGGCTAGTGTTGTGAAGATTTGACTCTTTCCCCTTCAACTTCTGGTCACAGTGAAGAAAAAAATGTAGTTTTTTTTATTGGAAAGGATATATGTTGTTCTTTATACGTTTTGGTCTTTGGGTATTTGGCTGGAATTCTCTTTATAGCATTGTTTATTATCTTCATCATGTTCTCAACATCTCAATATCTTCAACATGTCACATCTTCATTATATCAGATTATATTTATACTGTTTGATGACCACACTTAACTACTACCAGTATACCATCCATTTCACAACCTTGCTTTTACAATTCTTTGACATTTATGTTTTGTCTTTTATCTTAATGTTTCTCTTCTACACAGCAAATTCATCAGAGTTAAATTCTCGGTGTTGAAGCATTTCAGAGTAAAGTGTTGACGTTAAAGAGTTAGATTTTGATAAATGAATATAATAAGAGTTAGAATTGATTTTATTCAGTGCGAAATCAAGGAGTTATCTTTTCTACACTTGGTGGAGTTATTTCCAACATCCGGGAATTCATGCAGCCCCAGTCACTGAAGAATTTTCCAGACGCCATTTTCCATCTGAGGTTTAGAACAGCAACTGGTGAGTCAAACTACCTAAATGTTGGTATTTTTACTGACTTTCTTTAAGGAAATACAGTTGTAAACATATTGTTAAGTTAATAATTTTAGAATAGAGTGACAATTTTAAACTTCTGCGGTTCATTCATGGTCGTTTGTGTATCTAGCTTAACTGCATTACTATTGACTTCTTTTCAAGAATGTTTTTATATATGCTCACGCATACATAGTGCATAAAAACATCAAATGTACATGTTCAACACATTTCTGTCACGCTTAATGCTATTTTGTGCGTTGTTACCCATCTGAAAAATAAAATCGACACTTCTCCTTTAATTTGAAGCAAACTAGCGAGGGAATCCCCGGAGCAGCCTAGCCTACTCTGCCCGGATGCTAACGGCAACACAGGACGGTTTCCATGAGCTCTGGAGTTTCTAAAACATATCTGGTGAGTAAATGAACATGCTTACTTGTAAAAGGCTTCCTGACTGAAACATATGATTGTTTGTTATTCGTGTACGTTAATTTGGTTATTTTAAACACCGCAGCTCTTTTAAACTGGTTCATTCGTGGCCGTCCATATAACGTTAGTCCATAGACTCGCGTGATAACGTAACAGTTACGCTTGAATTATATTAAGTGTTGACAACCATTAAAGTCGGAATGTTAACATTAATGTCTTTAAATGACCACGTTTGCACTTTATCAGACATTTGACGTTACAGAAGTCTCCCGGAAGTTGCGGGACTAACGTTAACGTTATCCCGCAAATGCACAGAGACTCCCAGATGCCCAAGTAGATGCCCGCAAATGAATGATAATCTCCTGGAAATCGCGCGTCTCCCGCCCGGTCATTAAACACTTTGCACACCCCTCTCCACCGCATCCCTCCCAGCTCTTCAGGTACGTCGCACGCAAGTCACCCCCACCGCTCTTCAGGTACGTCGCGCGCAACTCATCTCATTGCTCTTCAGGTTCTCATTTCTCCCGCTAACGTTACCTCCCGCAAATCAACTCTGTATCCCCCGAAAATGACTTTTCCCAACTCGGGATGTCTGACGTTAGTAAGTTAGGCTATTTCTGTAGTCAGGAACATCTAAGTCAAGCTTTTTCTCCCACATGATATTGTGCTTAAAACTATAGGCTAAACTTAGCATGTACTGTACACAACATTTCCTTTTTATTAAAGACAATTTAGTGCGTTGTAAACAGCCACCTGTCTGTAAAATTAATCAACTGATTCATATTTGAGCAGCCTAATGATGATATAAGTTTGATTTTTAGATTTATTATCAATAATCAACATCTGAATCAAAAGATATCTGAAAAAGTGTGAGGCATACTTTGTGATGTTTATCTCTTTTATCTGAAGGTTATGCATATGTGTTTGATACTAATGTGTTGTTGTTTTTTAACAGCCACAGTTCTCTATACAATAACACAAGACCCTGTGACGGTGGCTGATTAGAGACGGATGGTGTATTTCCAGAGTTGGTGAAATGACACCAAGCACACCTTCTTGGTCATATGTGGTGAAAATAATGAAGGTATGTTTGATAAAGTTCTTTATTTGTTTCACAATAAGCTAAGAGGGTATTAGAGCATTAGAGAATAACAAATGACATGACGGTGATGAGTTTTGTATTGTGGGTGAACTGTTACTTAAATAATGTTTTGCTCTGCTTTGCACTTTTCCTCTTCTGCTTATCCTAATATTTTAGATTATATTTGGACCTGAAACATCTGCTAGACTCCAGGAAAGGTGGCGTCAATAATGCACCTGAAAGGGCCTAACAAGTTGAATCTGGTAAAGAAACATGCACGCACACACACACACGCACACACACATGCACGCACACGCTTACAGAAAACTGTAAGTTTATGAATATTTTTTACACTGTGGC